AGTAGCTTTGGGCCATCTGCACATCTCACAAGCACTTCCCCTGATTCTGATGCAGGGGGTTCTTGGGGACCACTGACTCTCAGCTCCTACCCCATGTCCCATTTGTCCGCAGGTCCACATGTCTTTCTGTTCCCTGAGCCCATTGTAGGTCTTCCCACCCCATCACCTATACTCACACTGGCTCTATATCACCACCTCGAAAGTTCCCCAGCACAGCTATCTAAGATGTCCTCATCCATCAAGACCAACTCAAACCTCACTCCCACGAAGCCTTCACTGACCCACCTCAGGACAAAATACTGCCCCTGTGCATTCTGAGCATGCGTCTCCTCGCTGCCTACCATTGGCCCTATCTAGTATGCAAGGCGGTGGAGGTCCAGCAGCGTACAGGTTCGAGTATGGGCTCTGGAGCCAGACACCCTGGACCACCTCCCAGTCACATGACCTTAGACAGGTTGTGTCCTACCCTGTGAAGAGCCCGCAGCAAGAGGCAGATGGAAGGATTGCTGAATGATTCATGTAAAATGCGAACATACCCAGCCCAGAACAAGTCCTACATAAATGTTGACTGAGATTGTTTCCCGGTCCTTCCAATCATCTTTTCATATTAAGCTTTTCATCTCTTTAACTACAGTACACACTCTTTAAAATCAGGGATGATCTTGATCATCTTCATTTCTACTGTACAGGAGGACACATGGCTCCCAGGACACATGCCATAGGCATTTGGTTGGGAAGGTGAGGCTGTCATAGCCCCCTACCATCCTGGCCTGGAAGCACCCATCCTGTATGAGGGGAGAACAACTCTTTCCACCCTGTCACCCCACCACCATGTGGAGAGGGAGAGGGAGAGAGAGGAAGAGAATGTACTACAGTTGACTGGGCTTTTACTCTGGGGAGAATGTTGTCCCCACTTAAATTCGTCCCATCCCTGTGAAGGGCCAGGCTGCATGATCACTAACAGGTGAAGTAGGAGGTTGGGTCATGCCGTCTCCGCCGGCCTTCCAACTCCCAGACCCACGAGATCGGGCTCAGGCTGGAGGCATAAAGAGAGCGGGCCACACAGAACTGAAGCCCACCTGGTGCTGGCACGCCCGGCAGCAGGTGGGTGCCCACCCTTCCGGGTGAGTTTGAGCGAGGCTGTCCTGAATTCCCTGGCAGGCAGCTGGGACCGAGTCTGCACTCCCCTGCTCCCTCTTGCAAAGAGAATGCTCAGAGCTTCAATGACACCTTCCCTCTGGATCTGTGGAGGGCCCCTAATTACCCTCTTCCCCGGGCAGCTGCTGCTACATTATTTCCCTTTGAAGTTTTTAAAGTCAAAGCTTCCCGTGGGCTGTACTGGACTCCAAAAGTACAGCAAGATGGGATGGTTAGAGGAACAGCTGAGGAAGCCCTGCAGGCCCCTGTGACAGGGTCTAGACAAGAAATCCTGTCCAACTGCCTCCCAGGGGCACCTCCAGAGCCAGCTTCTTACTGGGAACACCAAGGGACAGGATGGCAGGAGGAAAGGGACACTTGGGAAAGGGACATTCCAGTCTTGCCTCTTGCGTGCTGAGAGGAGGCCACAGAGAATTACAGTGTTGGCTTCGTGTCTCCTCAGAGTAGTGATGCCTTACAGCCCACAAGAGAGTGCATCATGCGTGTGTCTGCCGTCCCACCCAGTCCCTCCTCTGTCAGCCTGCGGAGGGGTGAGCCCCCCTGGAGGCCAGGTCTGGTCCCTGAGGACAGGGTCCTCCACATCCAGATGGATCTGAAACTATCCTCTGCAGGCTCAGGCAGGAAAGCCATTTGAGGACTTCCGTTCAGCCGATATACTTACTGACTTATGAGCCCTTCTGATAAAATTGGGCCTGCACTCCTGGGTATTCTTTAAAGAATATTTTTTTATTCTAGAAAACTCTGACTTTCACCCCATCCACTCAACTGAAACTCACCTCTTGACTTTAACTCACCAGTGTCATGTTGTGTGCCCCAGTGCCTCTCCCACTCAGACACCCAGGCTTACCTCAGCGGAGTAGGACCCTGGGTCTCCTGTGTCTGCCCCACCCACCCAGGAAGGGAGCCTCCCCTGTGTTCCCATCCCCTCTCCCCCAGGGCCCCCTTGCTTCAGAGCCAGGCAGAAAACACTTCACAAATTCTCTGCCACGTGGCTTTTGAAATTCATCAGTAAATCCCCTTTATGTGTCCAAAGGGCTTGAGGGACAAGTAAGCATAGGGAAGCAGCTAATAGTTAACAAAAATCCAGCAGATTCTTGGTCTTCATTCAAAGGTAAGAAAGAGCCAGGGGTTAACTTTCTCAGGGGCTACCGTGGCCTTGGCTCATAACTCTGGCCCAGGTGCAGCCTTGCCCAAATGAACATCTTTCTTTTAGTTTCAGGGCAGGTGTTTCAGAAGGCAGCCCCCCACTTCTCTTCAGCTCTCAGATGCTACAGATAGGCAGGTCCCTAAAGGAATGCTCATTTACATATCAAGGAAAAGTTGCCTTAAGTCACCTCCCCTCTGGGTGATCTCGGCTTTAGTCTCCCTCCGACAGTCTCAGCCTGACTGGAAAGTAAATCATACCATTCTTTATAACCCGTCCACCCAGAAGGGACCTGCTACAGACAGCTTGGCTTGCCTCTGTAATTTTTAGAATCAAACTTCAACCCCTAACAAACTACTGTATACACAACAACATGGATGTGTTGAGATGCATTATGCGAAGTGGAGGAATTTAGACTCAAAAGGCTGCATACTGTGATTCCATTAACATGACACTCTGAACAAGGAAGAACAAGAGAGACAGAAAACCGTGATTCCTAGGGAGCTGGGGCTGGGGGTGGGGTGACAAGAAGGGGACCGGGATTTTTTTGAGGTGATGGTATTATTATATTATCTTGATGGTGATGGTGGTTATGTGAGTCTACACTGTTGTCAAAACTCATAGAACTGAACACTTAAAAAGGGTGAATTTTACTGTATGTAAATTATATCTCAATTTTTTTTAGGTTTTAAAATAACATTTATTTTTTAAAAGTTAACATGTGCATAAATTAGGAAACTGAAAACACGAGAACAAAGTCATAATCACAAGCAGCTTAGTTTGGCGTGTCTCTCTAGGTCCTGTGTGTATCTACACAACTAAGCTTCCATTTTTATGCAATTAAGACGGTATAGTTATGTATCATTTTATCTCAATTTCTTATTCATTCATTCATTCATTCATTCATTCACTCAACAACATTTACTGAACACTTGCTAGGAAACAGACTTGGGACTAAGCAATGCGCAAAATGGGCAGCTGCTGCCCGTTGCGGGCATATAGTCTAATGGTCCAGGGAGTGGGAGACAGTAAAGAAACAGTAACAAAACAGGGACCCTGGAGCTCCTGGGAGGGGCACCCGACCTCATCCCAGGGAGTTAGGAGGTTTCTGAGAGGAAGCATCCTGAGTGAGTCAGCCAGGTAGGACAGTAAGTGTGAGGACCTCCATCCATGGAATAGACACATGCAGATGCCCAAAGGAGAGAGAAAGAGGGGTACATATAAAACACTGTAAGGAGCTCATTTTGGTGGGGGCATTGAGGCTGGAGAATAGTGATTTTTGGCTAATGGGTGTTTTCCTCTTTCCCTCCTTCCTTCCACCAGTTTGAGGCCCTACTCTGAAGAAATATGTGCTATGGAAGAGAGAAAACTCGTAATTCAGGGCTCTCAGAAGGTTTTAAACATTTAATAAATCTTTGATAAGCAAAGGGAGAGATTTCAGGTTAATTGATCAAAAGCTCCTGAGTACTTGGGCTTCCTAACTTTTCATCTGTTCTAACCTGGGTCTGTGATGTTTTCCACATCAGTGAAAAGGAAAATTGGAATGCTAAATGGGGAATGACATCAGCAGATAACAAGACCATCCCTAGAATCTCACACTGGATCCCCTTGGTCTGAATTGTCTCTTTGAATCCCAAATAGGTCTATTTTCTCACTTTAGAGAGACTGTCCAGGTAATCCAAATGGACATTTCCCAGGTTTCACTCTTGGGCCAGCTTTCTGAATTACATCGAGAACAATGGCCAAATTGCTTGGCTGACCCTTGAACGACGTGGGTATGAATAGTGTGGGTCCACTTACATGCCGAGTTTTCAACTGACCCTCTCAGTCACAGTTCAAACCTGATTTGTTCCAGGGTCAACTATATGTGGAAGGCCAACTCAAGTCATATGTGAATTCTCAGTTGTGCAGGCAGTCGGCACCCCTAATCCCCACATGGTTCAAGAGTCAACTGTATGTTCCTATCTGTGCTAAAATACCTATGTCCTCACTGTATCTCTTAGGGAGGGAATCTGTCCCAGGCCACAAATCTTTGAGCAGTGGCTGAAATCAACTAAAACATCTCTGCCCCCAAAAGACACTCTGTACAACTCCCAGAATCCTCTGGGCCAACCAACGCTGTGTCTACCCTGCCATTTAGGGCTGCTTCCCTATGCCTTTCATCTGCATCCATCGTAAAGCTGGCCTTATCCATTCTCAGCAGAGGCTTGGCAGCTGGCATTGTAGCCCCATTAATTCTAACCGTCAGCACCAGAGCAACTGGCTTGATTTCACATCTCTATTTCTGAGATTCAACCACTGGATAAATAAAATTCCAGTGTCTGAGCATTCCTTTCTTGGTGGTGGTAATGAACTAGGAGTATGGTTCCCACTTGTCTATTTTACTAGATGAGGGCAGATTTATTTTGCATAGTTACATCAAGTTGGATGGAAAATTATTCCTTCTGAAATATTGGTATCCTGCATCCTTTTCCACACAGGAGAACCCCACCAAGCCTTTGCGCCCCACCAACAAGCCTGAGCACCCCCTAACCAGACCTCTGTTCCCTAATGTTCCTTCCAGATCAACAGGAAAGGATCGAGGGTGAAAGGATCCTGAAAGGGGTCCTGTGTCCAGGTGAAGGGGAAGGAGAAGCGGCATGGGAGGGAGAGAGTCGGCACATGACTAATCGATGAAACCCGGAATTTCGCCTTCCAGGGTTATTTGTCAGAAGGCTTGGTCACGAAGTGGTACCGCTCACCGCGTCTGCTCCTCTCGCCTAACAACTACACCAAAGCCATCGACATGTGGGCTGCCGGCTGCATCCTGGCCGAGATGCTCACAGGGAGAATGCTCTTTGCAGGTAGGTCACTAACCATGCCACCTGCGGTCTCCTCTGGCATCGGTCCAGAAAAAGAGGGAACTGAGTGCAAAAAAACCACACTAATCACAAAACATGCTAGCCTTTTCTCTTTCAAATAACCCCTGTGGCTTTTACGGCACTACTTGGAGGCACCTTACTAGCATTTCAAGCAAAATATTAGAGAGGCTAAAAATAACCTTTTGAGGACAGAACTTTCAAAATCGAGTGACCACTTGTATTCAAACTCACAGATTGGAAAACACCCACCCTACACTTTTCAGCCCCTTTTTCCTCTGTCCCTGCCACTGTTAGCAGTCCACCTGGAGTGCTCATTTGAATAAGGGGAACTCGCAAGAGGCTCCCAGAGTCCCTGAAATGACCCTCCAAGAGCCCATTACAGAGAGAGGTCGGAGGAACTCCTTGAGAGCAGACCCTGATGCTGTAGGCACTTTCTCGGTTGGTCTTCACAGCATTTGCACATAGGGCATCGTGAGAGGTGGGGGGACAGAAGAGCCCCATCCTGGGCCACTAGCTTCTGGTAGACTGGAATCCCATCAGAATCAGTGGTAAGGGGAGGGCCCTCTGTGCAGCTGGATGAGTCAGAGGGACTCCTTGAGGAAGGAGAAGTTTGGTTGAGGTTTCAACCTGGTAGAGGTACGTGGAAAGTCTATTCATGCAAAAAGGAAAAATGGAAGCAATAAAAGTAAGAGTGGCCTGGAGGTCAGAGCGGAACGGCAAGGAGACAGACCAGACCCACACCAGCAGTGCCAAAGTGCTGATACAGTGGTTGCCTGGGTGTAGAAGACGTGTGGAGTTTCTGAGTGCCTAAAGTCTGATGCTTCTTACAGATGAGCATGGAACTCATTCCCAGCATCCAGCATGATGCCTGGCAGGGAGAAGGTGGGTGCTCAATAAATAATTACTTGTTGAATGAATGAATTCTTGACTCCATCCTGGTCCACAGACCCCGAATAGCCTGTCTTCTTCCCTCTGCCCAAAGGAGCACAGAGTCAGTGTGCTCAAGACACACCCCAAACCCAATTTGTTATTCCTGATTTTTCCCCCCTCCTAACTGGAAACCAAAAGATAAGGCTCATTCCTAACCTTAAAATCACTTCCTTCCCAGCCTGGTAACGTATATGTGGAGAAGCCTATGGAAAGGAGCATTTAGAAAGACTTGAGCCAAGCTGTTCCTGTCACTTTGGTGCTGAGTGACTTGGTCTATATCAGACTGCTCCATTCCAGAGGCAGAGACATTTGATAAAGCCAAGCCCCAGAGATGGCAAGCAACTTGCCCATGGTCACACAGTAAGTTAGTGGCAGAGTGAAGACCAGAACCCAGGTCCCCTGGCTCCCAGCCCAGCGCTGCTCCCAGGCCTCCTAGGCAGCACACATCCAGTCACATGGGCAGCATGTAACCCTCTGGTGTTTGCCTCCCCAGGGGCTCACGAGCTGGAGCAAATGCAGCTCATCCTGGACACCATCCCTGTGATCCGGGAGGAGGACAAGGACGAGCTGCTCAAGGTGATGCCTTCCTTCATCAACAGCACCTGGGAGGTGAAGAGGCCACTGCGCAAGCTGCTCCCCGAGGTGAACAGTGAAGGTACCTGAGCCTGACCGCCAGGCCAGCATATGGAGGCCGCACTCTGGCGTCCCTTGGGGGCGGGCGCAGGTGGTCTCCTTCCAAAAGGACCAAGTGTGGTCCCTAGACAATGAAGTGTTTATGAGTTAAATAAAGTAAAGCCAGTGCCATAGCAGATAAGCCTGAAATGTCCA